GTAACTTCCTTCTTGTCTTTTTAATTAGCTCACCTAACGCATTGGCTGCAAATGGCAACCCAGGCTGCTCTTCCTGCTTTTTACACGTCAATACATCATCCACTGTGACTGATAATTTTTGCAGCCCCAGCTGTGCCCCTCCTTGCCTTTCCAGTCCCTCCCTGAGTTTGGAGCTGCTGGATGGAAGCAGCAGCCCTGGCAGCCGGGCCATCAGCTCGTGCTCAGCACCAGACTGAGCTGGACCCCAACCTGTGCAAGTCCATTTCTGGGTCAAGAGTTGTAAGAGCTCTCTCTGGCACCTGTTTGCACAAAAGGCACTTCAGGCAAGTCTTTGTCACTCTTGTGAGTCTACTGGTGCTCCTGCTCCACAAAAGAAAGGGTTTTGATTAAAGCAAGCACAAGAGTAAGCCAGGGATTTTTAATTGTAGGGACTATTGACATAGTCTTCTGAACACAGAGGGCAAATTATCCATGGGAAATAACTTTGATTGTTGCCTCCATTATTTGTCCTTAATCCTAATTCAGTAACTTCAGACAGGTATAAAATTCTCTCTTTGCAAGCAAATGATACTTCTTTTCAGCCCTCCCTGCTGAGGGTTTGGGTTGTTCTTGCCAACATGATTTTTGGAAGTGGTCTTCTGCACCTTTTCTGTCAAACAGTGCATTTTTCATGGTTCCAGTTTTTCTGCAGCTATTTAGTTTTCCTTTGATGGAAGTAGAAATAATACCTAAATAATCACGTTGATTTTTATTTGAGGCAGCTGTGCTGGGACAGAACCTATTGTTCAGATCCGTTACCTTTTACACAAGAGAGATAAATTAATTACAGGGCTTTCCCCTGACATCCAGGCTCTTGCCTGCAAATGTTCACATAAAAGATGAATGACAATGAGGTTCTCATTACAGCTTGATGAATTAGCCTTTCACTTCAGTTCCAGGAAAGTCTACTTCATGGTCAACACTCTTGTTTAGGCCCTGCTGTGTTTTTTCTCTCATTGAATACAATTCGTGCAGCTGCTGTCAAACCACCTTTGTTGGAGCAATCCATTATTTTGCACTGCCCTTTAGAATTCTTCACTTTTCCAGGGAATTTGCCTCAGTGGTTTGCCAGTTAGTCAGCAACAGCATCTTCCAAATTTTCCTTTGTGCACATCACACACCTGGGGCTGCAGGAAGAAGTGGCAGCTTTGTGTAAAACAGCAAAAGGACCAGGAGAGCATCCCCTCCTCAGTTCAGGGATGATCCTTGTGCTCAGGGTAAGCCAAGCTGCACAGTCTGATGTTCTCAGCCTACTGCCACCTTTTCCTTGTGTGTCCACACAATGATCTTGTTGGCATGTAACACACATGTTTATATTTAGTTTAAACTGGAATATAAATGGGGCAGGAGGGAAATGTGCAGAGGTGTTTGCCAGGAGTTGCACACACGTGGATTCATTTCCAGTTTGTGAGAGGGTGGCACAAATGATGATGGACCTCCCTTGTGTCCCCCACATCCAGCAATGCCCAGAGCAGGGACGCCCTGTGTCCAAGGGCATGAGGGCCATTTTGCCTGCCCGTTCTGCTCTGAGAGGCCAAATGGAATACCTGAGTAATTTGAAAGCTGTTGTCTACACAAAGCAAAGTCAAAAGACTCACCCTTGCCAGGTGCTATTTCACAAAAAAAGAACATTTTTTTTTCTTGCTCACAGTTCTTGGCAGTTTATCATGTTCCTTTACTTGTATCTTTAAGTGTCAACACCTTGATCGATTTTATTACACCTGCCTGTGGTCAGAATATTACTAATGGTGGCTCTGGTTGGTGTCTGGGAACAGGAATAAGTCATTAGTAATGACTGTAAGTGAAAACATCAAAATATTGGTAGAAGAATAATTGCAGTAGTGTGAAGCTATCATTATTGAGATGGCAATAATTACCTTTATATCTTTTCCTAAAGCTTCCCAGACCACACTGACTTTTCTGGCTTCTCCCAGGTTTAACAGGTTTGGGTGCATTTGGAAGTGCTATCCCAGGTGGATGCCGAGGCAGAGGGATGGGCACAGTCACCCAGTGACCTGGCACTGGGTAGCAGTGCCTGTTCCCCCTGCCCCTGTGCCACTCCCCCTCTTGAGCAGGACAGGAGGTGAGTGCCAGCCAGCACTTCTGCAGGAATTGTCCTCAGCTCCTGCACAATTCTGTGTCCTGGCGTGCCACTGCTGCTCCAGAGCTCTCGCATACATGAGAGCCCGGGAGGGACTCTTCTCCTCGCAGTTTGCTGCTGGAACAGGAAAATACCCTGGGAATTTTGTCTGCTCTGTCTGCCAGCTCTTCAAGGAAAATTCTGATCTCTCCAACCATGAAATAAAATCGAGCAAAATATCACTGAGCCATATGGACACCAAGCAGCATAACACCCCTGTGGAAAGTCCTCCCTGCTGTCTCTGGTGCTGATTATCAACGCAGCTTAGACAAAAGCTGAGATTTTTAATGCCCCAAGCATGATGCACTCCCCTGACCTTGGGAATTATTTTTATTGCTATTTTGGCTGGCTCTGTCCCTGGCAGGTTGCTGGACTATAAGCAGATGCAAGAGAAATAGTGGAGATAGCTAATTTCAAAGGTACACAGAGTCCTTCCACAGCACATGGGAAACATGCTTAATGTTTGGAAATCTTCTTGTGGCATAGGTTGAATTTGGAACTGCAAATGGAACAGCAGAAATTCCTTCAGTTATCTGTTCTGACAGAAATTATACTAATGTCTGTATTTACATTGTTCTGTGGTATCTGTGCTCCTGCTGCCTGGATTCTCTGGGGTTTTTTCCCAGCAGCAGTGGTGGACAGAGTGTTTTGGCCAGGGGAGCACACAGCTGAGCTGGGGCTGCTCGCCCTGCAACGCTCACTCCCTGGGCTGCAGAAGCAAGCCATGCACTTTATTGAAGGTTGCTTTGCCTCCAGGCCCTTACGCTTCTTTATTTCCCCTTAAATGGATGTTTCCCCAAAGACAATCTTTTTAAAGCAGTTCAAACAGGTTTCCAATTACTTTTCAACATTAGTCTTCTGTTCTAAAAATCTCAATCTCAACATCAAGTCCATTTTGAGAACTTGGGAAATAGTGTTTTCTATCTGTTCTATTTTTGCAAGATGAGCATTTTAACAAAGAGCTTCCCTCTTTCCTCTCTCCACTTAGAAAACCTCAGTGAATTGAAAAGAGGACCAGTCTCTCTGCTCTAATAACAAGATGTTGTTACGTCTCCCAGTTCAAGCTCTGGATACTTGCTGACAAATGACCTCATGTGAGAGAAGACTCAAATATTTTGGGTGAGGAAAACATTTAAACACAGAAACTTCAGAGAAGTGCCTCACGTGGAGCAGGTCCTTAACCTGTGCTTATGCTAAGTAGTATCCAGACGACATTTAAGCAGGTTTTCTGAAATCAAGGCTCACAGAGCAGGTATGACCCAGACCTGTGTTAACACTTGGGTGTCAGCCAGGCTGTGAGGTGGGATAGTAACTTATTTCCCATTGTTTTAAATCCTGAAACAATCTAAGAGTAAAACAGATTACTGAATAGTTGTTACATTTGGGACTGTAGCGTGGTTGTTTATTTGCAGATCCTACATAATTGAGGTTCAGTAGTACCAGTGTTAGTTAGAGGTCGGTTTTGGCAATTGCTACAGAAGTGTTTCTCTTCCCACCTGGACATGGAATGAAATCAGCTCCATATCACTCCAACAGCCCATCTTGACAAAGTAATCATAATTCTCATGCAGAATATTCAAATAATTCCCTGAAGTGCAATGTAAGGAAAAAGAAAACAAAAGATAATTATAATTTGCTGTTGGATTTCTCACAAATTGGGAGTTGAGCTACCCTTCAAAGCCCTGTTTTGATGTGCAAGTGTTGCCTCAGGAGGGTGGAGACACTAGCACAGTGCAGCTGTAAGACAGAGGCCCTTGTTCAGGTGCAAGCCAGTGGCCACAAGCCCCAGGAGCTCATTGGGGATCACTGGCTGAAGGACACATCCCCTCTGGGTCCTCACCCTGTTTTTTGGAACTTGTTTCATGGTTAGTATTTGCAAAGCTTCTGATTTCATTGTTTAATGTAATTTTATTCAGTAAAGCTTCCTCATTGCATAAAGGTCTTGGTATTTAATATTTAATAGCATAAATCCCACGTGAGTCTCAGGCAGAGGATAAAAATTACATTTTAAATTAATGTGCAGTCAATGCCTGCTGCTCTTTTTGCATTTAAAGGCCAATGGCCATTTCAAGCCCAGCACCACCTTGCAGGGGCCATGCCTGTGTTCTCTGCCAAAGTGGCCAGTCCCCATCACAGGACGTGTAGCATTCCCCTGTACAGGCGCTGTCACTTGTGTGCATCTGGGAGCCCTGTGCTCCGTGGCCATTTCAGGATGGACACCTGGGATTCATCCACGCAATCTTGTCACTCCATCAGTCTGGGAGCTTGTGGCATAGGGTGCTGCGTGGCCTCGGGGGTCCGTGGTGCTGCGCTCGCTGGCACCAGCACAGGACAGCCCGGGACACGCAGCCCTGCGGTCCAAACAACCCGTACCCCACATCTGTGGTGGTCATCAGCAGGTGCTGGCTTCTGCAGGAAAGGGGTTTGGGCCAGACTTTGCAAGGATGCAGCATGTAGCACATACCTGGAATTCCACATTTGTTTACATGTTTGGTTATTTACGCTGCTGCTTTCGTAGTGATAATTTCTTACTTTGTCTTTTATGTCTTCTAGCATTTCCTTTTTCCTTCTTCTGGGAAAAGGTTTGAGATGGAAATCTGCACCTAAATTTTTTGCTCTTGAGACATAGCAGCCAAAAACATGTTCAACTTGTCAGATGGTTTATAGACCCACCCCACAACCAGCCATACACATTGTCCCTGCAATGTAATGTCCTATTGCCTCACTGAAATTTATATATATATATATACACACATATATAACATTTCAGATTATGTAATGTCACCATCTGCTGCTTTACATAAACAGTGCTCAGCTTCCATCTCTGCTGCTTTATGCAATTGTGTCCCCAGCCAAGCCACTGGGGTAGGGGATGGAGGAGGGAGTGCTCTGTTTGCTCTCCTCTAACTGAATACCCCTCCCTTCACTAGGGCAGAGCTGGGGAGCTTGCAGTCATAAACACTACACATTGCAGCAGTGCCCATTTGTTTTCCGCTTACTGTCCTTATTCTTCCATATGCAAACCAGGCAGCTTAAGTTTACTTTGATGGGCAAAGTTGCTGCAGGGTCAAATGGAAAGAAGAGATTGGCAGGAAAGGAGCAAATCCTCCTTAAATGAAAGTGTCTGCAGTAATTAGCAAATGTTGCAAAAATGAGCTGATAAACAAGCAAAAGGTAAGAAGGGAAAGGTAAGCTTCAGGGCAATTAATTAAGATGGTAAATAAAAAGAGACCCAACATTTTTGCATGAATTTAACAGATGGGAGGGTACACTGGGGGCATGGTATTTGTTCAAGCAGTGAGAAAAAGCTGGAAATACAGGGATTTGGGACCATTTTTAAAGGAACTGGCTTGTTTTCCAGGAATAAGCCTCAAGGAAAGCAAGACAACATTTAATTTCTTTGCCTACATTTGTATCTGTGCTGTTCATGAAGTCCAAAGAAATGGAAGTTCCTGTGCAAATGGAAGTGCCCGTCCCCCCTCGGGGTCCCTTCCTAGCCACCCTCAGCCCCAGCAGAGCCAAGTGCTGGTGCTGGTGCCTGAACCCCCTCGGCACCACAGAAGTGTGGGAAGCCTCTGAGGGCCAAGCCCAAGCCCTGGAATGGGCTGGGTCATCCTGCCCAGCTGTCCGCCCCTCGGTGGCTCAGGGAGGCACGCCCGGAGGGGAGGGATCAGTGGGTGCATAAATGCAGGGGGGTGACTCCCCCTCTTACCTGGTCTCCATCTGCCCTCAGGTTCTGTAGCAGGCTGAGACTGCACAAGGGATCTGGGTAAGTGGAATCTGGCTGGTGAAGGGGGGGCCATCATCACCCTAAAGCTGTTCTGAGGACTCCTAAAAGACTCAGCTCTGAACTCCAGAGCTTTCTTGCTCTTAACCCTGGGAGAAGTCATACTTTAATGACTACGTTATCACCCCAGTTTATTTTTTTTATGACTGAAGCACGCTTGACTCTTTGGGGTGGGCAGCTTTGTAACAGTTAGTGTTAAGGGATTTGGGGCAAAAGGATTGGGATTGCTCCACAGAGGCAGAGCTGCATTCTGTATTTCAATTTTTGGTGGGTTTATTTCTGATGAAGAGCAAGGGAGTGATGTATGTTATGAGGAGGTGATCAATTACCTGGCATGTCTGGAGCACTGAGGATTTTATCACATCAGGATGATGGTGATTGATTTTTTTTTCTTTTTTCTTTTTTTTCAGGTCTGCAGCAGAGCAGCAATCTGTGGATGCCTGATTGCAGCTGACAGGTAAGTTGTGGAGCCAGCTCACCAGTGACTGTGACAGGCCTCCCTATCTCATGTCCCCGTTTCTTTTCAGACTGTAATGGCTTGATGAAGACATGCTGTCAGGGTGATAGAGATCCAGAGATTATTAAATGAGGACACCTTCGACTTGCTAAATTGCTTTAATCTTGCAGGAGGCTCTATTAGCTCCTATTGGTCCCACTTTGAAGGGGTTAGAGAAAAAAGCAAAGGGGATGGGCTGCAAAAATGCAGCAGTGTTTGCTCTCCTGAAAAGCAGAGCCCAGGAAGAAAAGTGGGAATTGCACCTGGCTTTGCCTGCCTTGCTGGCACCATGCTGTGCAGAGGATGGATTTAATTTATCCCAGCAGGTGTTGGGTGCAGAGGGCTGTTACTGGCTCGGGGGGGTTGTGAAGCGCAGCACACTTGGTGTCTTGCCCCTTGCAGGTCTTGGAAAGGATGGAGAAGTTATTCTGTGTCAGGCCACTCTTGCCTGGACCTGGTTGTGTGGGCTCCATCCTGCTCCAAGGCAGGAGACGGTTGTGGCATGGGGGCTGGAGTTTTTATCCAGACCTTGAGCATCTGTTTCTCTGGAAATGAGGCTGCAGTTGCAATTTGTATAAAATCACTCTTTGCCAAAAGAAATGATGGGGCTGTTTTGATCTAATTCCAGAGTTGTTCCATTATTTTTGCTGTGACTGTGTGACATGAAATCCTTTGTACTCCATTTCTGATCACCTGTAGCATGAAGAGGGATGGAGGCAGGAAATAGTGAAAGGAGCCCAAATGAGGCAGTGAAAAGGGAATGAAACCAAACAGAAAGGAAAAGGTCTGTTCGAGGTGCAATCATTGGAGAAATGCTGCTATCCTCAGATGACATGCACTGTAGATGGGAAGGCATATACCTGAATTCCCAAAGCGAAGCAGACAATAGTCTGTGAGTGTCAGTGAGTTATTGCATTTGTTGGCTGTTACTGAATTAAATTCTCTGTTGGTTGGATGTCACTGCAGAGAGGGTGGCAGTCAGAGCTCTGGTTGGATTGTGGATGTCTAAGACTACATTGAAAAATGTGCTGGTGGAGAGGAATTTCTCCTTGTCGGGTAGGTCAGGCTGTAGACTGTTTGCCCAGAAATGGTCCCAGCTCCAAGGCCTGTGAGTATTTTAGGGTAAATGCTTTCAGGTGACTGAACTTCTCAGTGTGGGTTAAAAGTAGCAGCTGAGCAGAAAGAACTATTCCATGTAGTCTCATCTCCCTTCCTCTTCCCTAGTATCTATACAATTTTAAAAACCCTAAACAAAACAAGCCAAAGCCAAAATAATGAAAAACAAACAAAGCACCTACTCACCACTGAATAACCTCTGACAAGATTGGCATTAACAAAGCTGAATTTTTTTAAGACCACCTTTGCAATGAAATGAGCTGATTACCAGTAGGAAGAAACTTAGTTTATTATCTGATTTTTAAAAGCCTGAATAATTTTAGCCATTGGCTTTATCAGGCAAAATGATGATTTCAATTATTATCTTTAATAACTCTGTAGGAAATATTTCAAGTTCTTTTCCATGAATCCTACTTCAAATGCACCTTCAGAGATAAAAGCACCAAACTTAGCCCAATGAATAACTGATAAAGCAGAAATATCACTGCCTTGCCTCAAGAACATCACAGCTCTGAGTTCATCTCGTGCATGTAATCAGGGTCTGTGCTCTCCCTGGCCTCTATTGGCGGCAAAGCTCTTTTATGATATTCTGTCATTTATGACAGCTCCTCCAGAGAGTTCATTAGGGTGAACATTAATGTGGCTGAATCCAGGAAACTGCTTTTCCTGACATAATGCCAACATCTATTACAATGCTGTGCGGTGCAGGGGGGAGCATTATGGTTGTTTAATGTGCGTGTGTGTGTTGCAAATGGCATCACTTTTTAACTCTCTCTGTAAAGCAGTGTCTGTTTTCTGGATTGCCACCACTATAAATACATGTAATGGGGAGCCTGAGCAGCTGTTGTGTTCAGCAGTTGTCTGTGATGATTATGAATTCATGGTTGTGGCTCCCAGGACTAGAGAGCCACAATTAATCTGTACTATGATTCAGACCATCAATGTGAGTGCTGGTGTTTCCCCTGCTCTATTGGTATTTCTTAGAGTTCCTCAGATAAAAAAATCTGTATTAGGAATTGAGGCAAAGGAAAGCAGCAATGGCAAAGAACAAGCCAGTGGTTTTCCCTTCTTCCATCTATGTCCACACAGCTGTGTTGTGCAGGTGCAGCTCCTGAGTCTGAAGCTGGGTCACTTGTTTCCAGCTTAGCCATGGTGGCATGTAGGTAGGATGGATGTTGTGGACTCGCTGGTCCCATGCAGTGCAGACCATGTGTGTGCTTGGTTTTAAAAGAAAAACAAGAAAAAGCAAAACTAAAATCTCCGAGTCCACCAAAGAAAACAGTGTTTATGACAGCAGGAGAAACATGGCTGAGGATTATCATTCTTTGCATGCTTGGCTCAGATGGAGAACACTGTAGCTGTAAACTACCTCATGCTTTTTCCCACAGCCTTATTCTAATCTCCTTTCTGGGTTAATTCCCAGGTAAGAGAGCTGTGCCATTCCATTTTTAATTGTTTTCAGCTCAGTCTCCTGATTGCCAGTGCAGAGTTGGCAGGGCTGCCAGGACATGCTGTAACGTGTCCTGTACAAGCATCTTATCTGGTCAGAGCTGCCATGGGTACTCAGGAGGCTGCAGGGACACGGGCATTCATCTCAGTCAGCTGTGATGAGCCACAGCTGCAGTGGATCCAAACTGGCTTCATCTCTGGGCTGCCTGCCCCCTGGGCTGGGATGGACAGGTCCGAGTGGAAGACTTGGCTGAAAAGCAGGAGAATAACTCTGGGGAAGGAATTCAGGGCTGGTGAATTGCTGCACTCAGCATGAGATGAGCTTGGGAGTCCCAGTAGCCTTGTGGGAGGTAGGAAACCCCAGGAATGTCCATTTGAGGTTAATTAAGTTCACATCAAAGTAGCAGCACATCAGGATCCGCTAAAGGCTGCTGAGAAACTGGGGTCCTGGTACTTGTGTGGGAGTAGGAGACTGAGAACAGCAAGTCCTGTAGGACTGACCAAGAGATGGGGCTGGGATGTGGGACCGGCAGAGAAAACCTCCCAGTGAACCCAGAGCAGGCTCTTTCCTGGCCAAGCCCAGGGAGCACACAGCTTCTCTGGACAATCCCTGCTTCGAAGGGGCTGTGGCCTCAAGGGAGGCAGAGCAGCTGGGAAGTGGGAGCGGTAAAATAGATGGGGAAGTGATAACTCGAGGGAGCATGAGGCAGTCCTGTGCCTGCTCCTGCCCCACGCCAGTGCTGCCCAGAGCTGGGCTGAGGGCACAACGTGGTGTGTCCCTGTGTTGGACCGGAAAGGAAACCCAAGGAACAGCCCTCGGTCCTGTGGCAGCCCGGGGAGGGGACAGGGGCAGGGACAGCCCTCGGTCCCTGCCAGCCTGGAGAGGGGACAGGGACAGGCACAGCCCTTGGTCCCTGCCAGCCCGGAGAGGGGACAGACACAGGGACAGCCCTCGGTCCTGTGGCAGCCCGGAGAGGGGACAGGGACAGGCACAGCCCTCGGTCCCTGCCAGCCTGGAGAGGGGACAGACACAGGGACAGGCACAGCCCTCGGTCCCTGCCAGCCCGGAGGGAACAGGGACAGCCACAGGCACAGCCCTGGGCGCAGCGCTCCCATCGGGCTGCGAGCGGAGCCGCTGCTCCCTGCCCTGCTGTCCTGGAGGGCTGCTGGAACGGGGCTGAGGAGAGGCAGAGAGGAAAAACACCAGAATAAAGAAACCCGATCAGTTAATTGGTGGAATTCTCTTTCTCTGGTTGACTGTATTCATTCTGACAGGAGCCTCTCCTCCTTCCCTGGAGTGCTCTGGCAAGTGAGACTTGCAAATAAAGCAAAGGATCTGCTGAATGCACAGCCATGCATAATTTAGGAGTGCTGGAGCCTTCTGCGCATCTCATCACAAAATGGCATTCAGTAAGTGCTAACACAACTCCTTTGTGGATAGGCATTTCTGTGAATTTCTTGTTTTTCAGTCAGATTTGGACATCAGACCCCTGCCAGGAATTAAAAATTGACCATCAGGAAGTACTGTAGCAGGGCTAACACCTAACTGACACATTTGTTCGTGTGTGCCCACAGTTAAAATAAAGAAATGATTGTGGATCCTTGAGTGGGTTGGCTTTGAAGGATAGTATGAATAAATGATGGAAGACTACATTTTCCTTGAATTCACACTTTTCACCCATAAGTCATAAAAACAAATTTGATGCTAGAGAAAATAGCTGGAAGGGGAAACAAGGACATCTCTTTCATTCTAAGGGTGTGGAGAGAAAGTGTTTCATGTCTCCGGACCAGGTGTGTGAGAGGAAAGAGCTGTAACTCTTTAACTTATGTGTATCTGTTCCCATCAGGTAAATGTTTCATGCAGGGAGAAGGACCAAAGAAATAATTAAGACTAGTGTTGATATTTACTTGGACTAATAGAATGTTGTGCAGCATCACCTGAATGAAAATCAAATTTGTGATTAGTAGGTGGTTCATCCTGTTCTAACAGTGTACAATGATTAATTCTTCTTTTTCATGCCACAAATAGTAATTAAAGAGAAATATTACATAGCTGCACCTGGTTTTCATTATGCAGTTGCAACAGTGTGTAAACCAGATCTTTTATTGATGAGAACAGCCATAAGTTTGAAAACTGAGGGAAAAGCATGAAAACCCCTCTGAGGCTCCCTAGAGACATGTGAGAAATCTGAAATTATTAAAATATATGGTGGCACATCCTGATTACTGACAGCTCCTGCTGCGGCTGTGGGCCCTCGTTCCTCTTTGACTTCCAGCTTTTCTAAGGATTCCAGCTTGCTTGGTTCTCCCCCTTCCCTTGGTAAATCTGCTATGCCAGGGGAGCCCTGTGCCATGCCTGGACAGTGAGACCCAGCTGACGGACTGTCCTGCTGCAG